TTTACACTGGCCTGGGGCAGAGCTTCTCTCTGTGCTTCTTTCTCTCTCTCTCTCTCTCTTCTCTCTCTCTCTCTCTCTCTCGTTTCTCTCTCTCTCTCTCTCTCTCTCTTCTCTCTTCTCTCTCTCTCTCTGTCTCTCTCTTTCTTCTCTCTCTTCCTCTCTCTCTCTCTCTACTCTTCTCTCTCTCTCTCTTCTCTCTCTGTCTCTCTCTTTCTCTCCTCTCTCTCTCTCTCTTCTCTATATATATAATATATATATATATAATATCATACGCCTTACTGGCCACCAATCCATTAGATACTGCTGAAACCCTGTAACCCCTTCTCTAGCATCACTGTTGTTCCTCAGCATCTGCCAGCAATCTTCGCCGATAAACAACAAGCCATTCTCATCCAGCAGGTAGCAGTCTAGATCCGCGTCGTCACAACTCATCTCGTCGCTGCTGTCCGCTCGCCCGTCTCATAGTCGTCCAGTTCGGCGGCGCGCCGCGGCCGGCGCCCGCACCCTAGGCGACCGACGCATTTTTAAAAATCATGTTACGGTGTGCCGCCGGCGGCGTCTTAATACGACGTTGAACGGTGCATGGTGTGTCGTGACTAACCCATTACTTATACAGTATATGTAGTAGTAGATTCGATTAGTTGTGGGATCGATAGTAATGCAATCTCGAGCGTTTGGGACTGCTGGTACAGTTTGTGCACTGCGGGGAGTTGATGACCTCTTCGTGTAAACGAAGAAATACGATCTGTCTGTCCGTCCGTCCGTCCGGTCGTCCGTCCGTCCGTCGTCGTCCAGTCCGATCCGTCCGTCCGTCCGTCCGCCCGTACATCCGCTCTCGACTCGACGACACGTTTTGTACCTTTTCCGACTTACAGCATAAAAAGAAACAGGGAGAGGGAAAGAGAAAGAGAGAGCGCGCGCGAGCGAGAGACAGACAGACAGAGAGAGAGCGGCGAGTGAGATAGAGAGAGAGAGAGAAAGAGGAGAGAGAGAGAGCGAGAGAGAGAGAGAAGACGAGAGAAGAGAGAGAGAGAGAGAGAGAGGGAGAAAGAGAAGAACGGAAAGAGAGAGAGAAAGAGAGAGAGAGCGCGTGAGAGAGAAAGAAAGAGAGAGAGCGCGCGCGAGAGAGAAAGAAATGAGAGAGAGGGTGAAAGAGGGAAAGAAAAAGAGAGATGAGAGAGAAAGAAAAGAGGCGGTGTGTGTGTGCAGAGAGAGAGAGAGAGACGCAGAGGCGCCGAGAAATGAAAAGAGAAGAGAGACAGACTTTACGATGACAGCAGTAATTCCCGCATGAGAGCAGCATCGGTAGCGGCACACCTACCTGCCTCGCCGACAGCTCAAAGAGCAGCATGAAGTTAGCATGAGACATCTGCATACCGACGACGGCTGCCGTCGCCGACGCCTCGCCGACGCGACCGTCACGCACTCGACATCGTCACCACCGTCTCCTCGCTAGTGTTGCCCGTCGTGTACGGCACTGCAGCGACGATAACACACGCTGATGACGTCACCGCGCCGACGTAGCGTGGTATACAGCCCCCCTTATGATAAACGTACCCCGTCTTTACATCGCGTGTGTATATGATAATATCAGGAGTGTCATAATATCAGGAGTAAGATAATATAAGATATAAGATATATAAGATATAAGATATAAGATATAAGATATAAGATATAAGATATAAGATATAAGATATAAGAATAAGATATAAATATAAGATATAAAGCATATAGATTAAGATATAAGATATAAGATATAATATAAGATATAAGATATAAGATATAAGGATATAAGAATATAAGAATATAAGCATATTAAGAATATAAGCATATAAGATATAAGATATAAGATATAAAGGATCTTCCCGAACTACCGCCAGCACCCCCACCGCCACCGCCAACGGTGACAACAACGACAACAACAACGACAACAACAACAACAACGACAACAACAAAAACAACAACAAAAACGACAACAACAAAAACGATAACAACAACGACGACGACGACGACGACGGCGACGACGACGACGACGGCGACGACGACGACGACAACAACAGGCTGCATCTATCGCCAGGTACGTAAGTACGTAACCCAGGTTAACACCTACCTGGCGATATCGCGTCAGTCCGCTTCTAGTCCCTAGAAACACCAGTTCGATGCCAGGCGGGAACTCGGTGGCGTCCCACAGCCGCGGTACGTCCTTTGTCACGTCGGCATCGTATATGAGGCTCCCAACGATATCATACCAGTCCCGACCTGCGGACATCCCACCACCACACACACACACACGCTGATAAAGTACTAGTACTCTCACCCCCCACCTTCTACCCCCCCCCCATACACACACGCATGAAGTAATGGTAAACTATTAGTGATTCTCACTTTCGATAACATTAACGAAAAATGCGTATACGGTGACGTAAGAATACGTATTCACCCCTCCTCGTTAGTTTCACACGCAACTTCGTACGCACAGACAGTAGATGCTTGCGTCTCGCAATACTACTATCTGGGTGCCGACCTATAGATACAATACCGTATATATGACGGTAGCATTACAACATATAGAGAAACATATTACAACAACTATACGCAGAGAAAACTCACAGTGTTCTATGTAAAGGTCGCGCTTACGCGGATCTCTCGACATTCTGATCAGGTCGAGCAGTCTGTCTTCGGACGGGGTCTCCTCTTCCGTGTAGTTTGTCAGCTGGCCGGTACAGTAAGCCCTGAATGGAAATATATAAATCGCGTTGATCTCAGTCCCGCGGTAGCGATGGCTTGTGCTGCGTCTTAAAACCATGTTTGCCTTTCGCTTTGTAATCAACGTCGCGTGAGCTTACAAGACAGTTAGCGACAGGGTGGGTAGTCCGGGGAATTTGGAGGAAAGGGAGAGGTAATGATTCTGAATATAGTGCATCTTTATTTTCTTAAACATCTATTAGTTTATCTTAAAGCCTATGCGAACCCAATTATGTATATTTTTCAATAAAAACACTAAACACTAATATTTTACTACCATATTATTACTTACCTTGAGGCAATTTATCGAAACGTTGTGTTTTTGTAACGTTTAAAGCAATAATTATCTTCATTAATTAATTAATCTTAATTATCTTCATTAAAAATCTAAACTTAATGTAAAATTAACTAAATATCCTAATTAAATGAATTGGAATTTTTTAGAAGGTTTTTAAGATTCATCGCGATTGGTGCGGTTTCAAGTGCGAGCAACACTGACCATGTCTCTGGAACGGTCCAGTTCTGCGAAGGCAGCAGGTCCTCGACTGAAATAATCGAATAGAATCCAAAAACTGTTTTAAACGAATTTACGAATGCGCTTTGCGCTTATAAATAATGCGCTTATAAAAGCAAAAACATACGCTTCGTGCGTTATCCGCCAAACGCATAATACAAACACACAAGTGCAGGCATGCCAAAATGTCTACGTGAAGTGATAATAATGATGATGATGGCGACGACGACGACAACGACGATGATGATGATGATGATGATAATGAGGATCATAATGATGCATAATTAAGAGATAATCATCATTACCGCAATACAATTAATGCCACCCCAACCCCGCAAAATCGCTGGCTGAAAACGCACGCCTGTGACCGTCAAACTCTACTTGGAACGTATACCGTGAGAGTGAATTAATGAACCTACTGTTGGCGACCGTGGCCGGGTCACGTGTGCCGTGAGCTCTGTAGTCGCTCGTTAACGCTATGCCCAGAGCGAACGGTGTCCCGTTCAACGCAGTGTAGTAGTAGCTGTTGTTGCGTAGCATCACTCGCCGCTGTCGAGAAGAAAGACGTAAAACACAGCGAGCGCGGCGGTTATATATTTAATATAATAGTGTATATTATTATAATATAAGATTATTATAATGTAAGAGTGTGTGTCATTATAAGAGTTGCGGTTATATTATTTATTGTTATATATATACAAACTATAACACTATAATGCTATAATACTATTGCAAATATAAGTTACTACTGCATGCACTTCCATACCGATGTCTAAACACACGGACGGAATTAAATGTCATCTTCATTACATATCCCTCTTCAGTAACCCCTGTTAGAAGGACAGAGTGAGGTGTTATCAAGAGCTAATAACACCTATCATTAGGTATCATGATACATTATTAGCTACTATATAGAATGCGTTTCGTATAGAGAGAGAGCGAGGGAGAGAGAGAGAGAGAGAGACAGATAGAGAGAGAGAGAGAGACACACACAGAGAGAGAGAGACACACAGAGAGAGAGAGAAACAGAGAAAGAGAGAGAGAGAAACAGAGAAAGAGAGAGAGAGAGAGAGAGAGAGAAAAAAATGCGAGTCAAACGAATGAGGGAGAGAGAGAGAGAGAGAGAGAGAGAGAGAGAGAGAGAGAGAGAAAGTGCGGGTCAAACGAATGAGTGAGGGAGAGAAAGAAGAAGAGAGAAGGAAAGAAGCAGAGAGAGAGAGAGTATGAGAGAGAGAAAGATAGCGAGAGAGTATGAGAGAGAGAGATAGCGAGAGAGTATGAGAGAGTGTGTGTGTGAGAGAGAGAGAGAGAGAGAGAGAGAGAGAGCGAGAGAGAAAGAGAAAGAGTGTGGGAGAGAGAGAGAGAGAGAGAGAGAGAGAGAGAGAGAG